ACACGTCCTACCGGGGAACGGAAACTCGCTGTGGAGAAGTTGGCGCTGATCTATCCGGTCCATTTCCACTGCTCTTCCTTTCGCGCCGGTAGCCGACGAACCGAGCGTCCATGTGCGCAGCGCCCGGGAGTTCATAGATCACCGAGCCTTCCGAATCCGAGCCAGACCGCCACCTTGTGATGGATCTCAACTCTTTGATCGAGGCCCTTCGGGGCACCATGGACGCAAATTTGCGTGAGGCCGCAGAGAGACAACTGAACGAGGTAAAGTGATCGGATGGTGGTGGTGCGCCTCGGGCCTTGCGCAGCAGGATGGCTGTAGCCGCTAAAAATGTGTTTTTGAAAGAATTTTTGTTGGCGTATAGCCTTTCAGTAACACACAATATGAGTTGGTAAGTTAATCCATCAAAGGCCAAAGATCATATATTTTTAACGTTCTGTAGCACGCGCTAGCAGTTCGTGTCTACTACGTCACCGCGATAATGGCTCGCGCAAATGGGATCGCGTTAAACGGACGATACATGTAACGTGACTTTGAAAAGGTGATCAGAATACACGAGGTTGTATACGTCTCTATGTTTTAAGCTCAAATGCTGATGTGTCTGAGTGTGTTAAAGCTGTTTGTTTGGAGTGCGCGAATGTGCTAGCGCGGGAGATGCTAGGCGCTAAGTTAGTCTCTCACGTGTCAACATGAGGCAGGAGGCTTGTTGTCATTTCGCTCTCTTCGTAAACGCTTTCACCAACTTAACTTTCAGAATATCTGATGATCATATTTAAACAAGACAACGACCGATTTCGATGCTCATCGATGTGTTAAATCGCTATTTTAATAGTGTTTTAGGCCCGTTACATTAGCGAGCTGCGTCAGTATTTTAAAAGTACTTTGGTACCAAGGTACAGCCGTGTGTCAGACAAAGACATCATGATAATTAGATAAATATCTAATTTGTTAGCACTAGTTAATGTAGTAGCTAACATGGCCAGTAAGCTATATTTTGTAAAGAATGCATTAATCTTCGTTACTGTTTGTTTAAAAAAAGTCATCTTCATTCATGTTAGCTCATAGAACGTTTCCTGATGTTAACATAGAACTTTTGATTTGAAAATTGTATTAAGTGTTGAAATTAACTTGAAGAATAAAAAAATACTGTATAAGTATTGTTTATTGTATGTTCATGTTAACTTGAGTTATTGTATAACTCATGTTAATAAACGAAACCTTGTTGTAGTTAAGTGTTAGCTTATTTTTAATAAACCGTTATTGACAATCGTAATAGTTGTTCCAGAAGTTTTGAGAGTTACTTTTTTGTCTCTTACATAACATAGCAATATTTTGTATTTTGGAGGTATATGTTGACAGATTTTTTTGTCCCATGGTATTTTTTGAAGTGCCAACCCAAAAAGTACATTGGTACATCTGTCATATTATGCTTTTGCTGTACCATAACGCCATGGTACTTTTTGTGTAAATAGCCAATAATTTGTTATCGCCAAAGTGTGTGATGTAAGGGTAGTTCTACTGCAAAGTTGTCTAGTTGGAGCAAATTTGTCATGAAATGTCATTTATTACAAAGTAGTTACAAAAATGCTGACTTTCCAAGAACAGGGTTGTGAGCTATGAAGATTTAATTTATCTTAATCACTGAAATTTAGTGTCCTTGTCATGTGTTCTTGTCTAAAGTAATGTTTCTAATAACCGACACTGATGTGTATTATGGCGCTTTTCCACTGCGTGGTACGGCTCGGCTCGGTTTGCGTTTCCACGGCAGTTCAGTACCGCTTTAGAGTGGGCGATTATTCACATGTCATTATAAGGGCCTTTCGCACCGCTTTAGTTCCAGAACTAAATGGACAGTACTAAAGTACTGGGACGATTTTGCGCGAACTATTTCCCAGTACCATTTAAAGGGTTGCATTCGCACTGACAGTGTGTACAAGGAACCGGTCGACAGCGCCGTCATTTGTGCGCGGCGTTCAACAATGGAAACAAAGAAAAACAACGTTAACAACAGGAGGATGGAGGACGCTGTGATCGGAGCTGTGTTTTTATTGTGTATCGCGGGTTTCACAATAATGGACATGGAATGTCGACGTATACGTAAAGCGATTGAAAGAACGGTAAGGAGGACTAAGAATCTCCAACGACAACTGAAGGAACCGGTCGACAGTGACGTCATTTGTGCGTGGCGTTCAACAACGGGAACAAAGAAAAACAACGTTAACAACAGGAGGATGGAGGACGCTGTGATCGGAGCTGTGTTTTTATTGCGTATTATATTGTGTGGTTTCTAGGTGCTTGAGTTTGTTTAGTAGTGTGAGACCAGTGAGTCACATTTAGTGGTAATCTGTATACAGTAGTTGTTACCTGAGGAACATGAGTAAGACAATACCTGAGAGACCAGCCCATCGGCCTGTATGGAAGTCTTTTGTTTTTGCCCAGTTTTGTGAAATTTTATGCTTTTGCTCTCATATATGAGAGAGCGAGGATGTTCTTAAAAAAAAAACGATATATATTAATTATATGGTTTATTTGAGGAACAAGAAATAAATAATTTTAATCATAAGTTTTTCTAGATAAAACTTTTTCTTAGGGTCTAGTGTGAGTTCTTTTATATTAATATTTATGCTTATTAGATGGCCTGCTGTAGAAAATACAAATACACACTGTGGCACAAAAGTGTAATTGTGGCACAAAATTATAATTCAATCTATACAGCCCTGGAGTGGGTGGATGTGTGCTTTTGAAATGCCTCTGTGCTGCTCCGTGACAATTTTTCATCTCATTCTGTCTTTTTTTCTATAGCCAGACTGTCTTTTGTGATTTTACAAATGACAATTATCAAGAAAAACACTATTCATAACTGAGATAGGAGGTGCACTCGCAGTGCGTTCTTCAAATCGTTTCAAATAGTCTTTACAATTGAAAGAGCTTGATGGGTACAGTTTATTTCTGAGAGCTGTTTTTCTTTTAATTATCATTTGAAGATTGTTTTTCACCTTTTTTTTGCTTAGCCCTATGATTTTCATAATGTGGAAAACACAGACCGAATTCTGACATCCAGTCTTTAACAATTTACTGTAAAGCAGAATGAAAATCAAGGAGTAGAGCTGTACAGTTAATCAAATTGACATCTGATATTTTGTTTTATGAGGACTTCACGTGAACATCATCTCCAGAGCCACTCTGAGAATACCTTCATTAGCCTGTCACCATTTCATTTAAATAAAAATGTTGTCAAATATACACAGACACTCAAAGGCCCTCACTTCAAACTGCCAAAATAAATTAAGCTTTTACGACAAATATATTGCTACTGTGTAGTAAAATGAACTTAAGAGTTTTTAAGGAATATCACCCAATTAGATTTTTTTAAATTCATACAGTAAACCTGTGTTGTGCAGCAATTTATTTGACAAAAATGCTATGTTTTGTTCTAAAGGAATTGTTGCTTTTATTTGATTACATTTTAAAGATTGGTTAGATTAAATTAAGTTTGTTTAATTGCCATTGTTTAGGATGATAAATGTATGTTAAAGGTGCAGTAGGAGATCTTGGAAAATGCTTTAGCCTGATAGCACTGAAAGCGAACGTCCCACCCTCTCTGCAGTCGCCATCCAAAGCCACGCCCCTAAACGCATATACGCTCACAGACCAGAATACCAGAGACAACATTACTACAATAGGCTACATCAGCGGTTCCCAATTCCAGTCCTCGCACTGGATGTGAAGACGGGAGTGTGATGTGTGTGAAGACGCTGCGCAGTGCAAATCCGTGAATGAATGTTCTGAAGTGAAGTAAACTTCAACAGATTTCCCCTGCTCAGAGAGTAGGGAGCAATGAACACTGTGTAGGGATCATATCGATCGGATTCTAACGAGCTGGTTATCTGAATCGGGTGTGTTAACTAAGCGAGACATGCAAAATATGCAGAGCTGGGGGCGCGAGGACAGGACTTGGGAACCGCTGGACTACATCGTGTCATTCACCGGTGAGAAAACTTTAAAAGTACTACAATACCAGGAAGGAAGATCGGGTTGTTGATGTTTGTCTGCCGTCCTCGCTCTGTCTGCACAGCGTGTGTGAACGCGCTGATGACGTATCCTGTCTGCGCGAACCGGGTGCACAGAGGTATGCTATTACATACGTTGACAGACAGGTAGGAAATCCAATTAAAACGCTCGGACCGAGCATTTTGATTGGACGAACATTTCTTTGTCCTACGCCTTCCGTAGGATGTATGCATATTGCAGGACTTTAATTATAAACAAATAACTCTTATTTTGAAATATCAATGAGAGGGAGATACAATATGCACTCTTACAACCGTATTACACTATATAAACACCATATAGTAAACACTGTCATAATTCAACAGCAGTTCATAAGCAATCTCTTGGCATAAATGTATTCATTGAACATGCAATATCACCATGTTTTTACACTGAAATGTGCAGCACTTATTTTTATTTAATGAAATCATAGGCTTTTGAAGTTAAGGAATAACATTATGGCTGTATTGTGAACCGTGATTCCTTTTTTTCCATCCTCAAATTTAAGACCTCTTAAATTATATTTAAGGCATTTGTTATAGAATTCACGATACCTTCAATTTTATAAAAATTACCTGCATATGTGCTCTTAAATACATATTACGGTTCGCACAAATCTATTTTTAGTCACAAATGTGAGTGAAATACTGTTTCATAGTTTAGGCATTTGTAGATTGTAGATTTCACTTTAATTTGTAGCAGATACATTAAATAAAAGTTTGAGATAAACAGAATAAAGCAATACTCAGTTTGAGATGTTAAAGCAAAAAGTGTTACAACCATACCTGATCCCCTATACATGTTGAGTCTCATTGGTATACATTTGATATATTTTACTGCTTTTCTTTATATGGTTAATTTTAGTAAATTAGTAATTGGTTAATTTTATGATGTTCAATTGATTAGACATGCTTTTTGATTATTTGTATTTAAGTAAACCATTGAAATCTAGAGTAACTACAAAGGAAAACACGTGAATTTGTGAAATATTACAGTGGATTTTATAGGACTCTATTTACTACACAAAGAAAACTTGTAACTGTTAACACTGTGGTTTTACAAGGAAAACTTTTACAAAAGGCAAGAATCATCTTTGAGTACTCCACTCAGGGCTTTTATTTATTGCATTATGCTTCATATGAGACATCATCTGACTTAAATTTACTCAATTTACTATTGTGAAATGGCTGGATTTGTGCAAAGTGTCATCAGCTATTTAAAATGAACCATCACCTGAGTACTATTTGGCAGTTTGGTGTTCACATGCCCAACTGCAGTTAACACCATTAGATTTGGGATAGAGGGAGGCATGAGAAGAGTTGCTGATTCAGCAGCAGCAGGCAAGATTACTCGTCTACGGCTTTATGAACCTGTCTGCCATCAGTCTGCTGTTTGATTGTCTCCGGTCTAACTCATCCTTCCCGTCAGCTAATGCTGGTTACATATTCAGCACTTGCGCCAACAACTTTGTGCTAAAACCGTTCATGGTCTGTATTCTACATATGTGGTCTGGCTGCCTGTGAGGACTTTTTTTACAACAGGAAGAAGTGTTTCCTCTGTTTCAGGAACAGAGTGTTTCTAAATATGAAAAGGCTGCTCTCTGGAGAGTCCTCAAGTGCACCTGCTGGGATTTTTCAACAGATGCACAGCTGCATTGAGTGCCTGACATAGCTCAGGCTTTCTTGACATCACATGGGCGTTCAAACGTGTTAACCTCATGCTTTCTTTGCGTGAACTGGGCTAGGTTTCAAGGCCAACAAGTTTTCAAATGTGATCAGAATAGAAGGCATTCATGCCACTCATTCCATTTATGTATTCTGCAGAAAGTGTTACGCTAATATTCCAGTCTTTTTTTTCAGTTTGATTTCTTCTGCATTCCATTTTGATGGTTGAATGATTTTAGTAATTTGGATTTAATTATTAAAAAATTGCTTAAATTCTGTGACTTGTCCTGAAAATTCGAATTTTATGACTCTTATTTTTTGCAATTGACCCTGTGATCCAGGCATAGCATTTAGGACTGCTATCTCTGACCTCTGTTGTTGTTCAGGTGTGATCTACCTGAAGAACATGGTGACACAGCACTGGAGTGAAGGAGATAATGCAAACACTGAAGGGTCTACCAGTAACATCCCAGAAGAGGACAGGCAGTTCATTCGAGACCACATAGTGGAGGCCATCATCCAATCCCCAGAGCGCCTCAGGTAACACGGCGGTAAATGTACACATGGTGGGAGGGGGGAGAGAGAAGGATCACTTTCTCTTATAACCTTCTATTTTCTTATTTTCATAGAGTGCAACTCACAACTTGCATTCACCACATGATCAAGCATGACTACCCCGCTAGATGGACGGCTGTTGTGGACAAGATCGGTTTTTACCTGCAATCTGATAACAGTGGCTGCTGGCTGGGCATCCTGCTGTGCCTCTACCAGCTGGTCAAGAATTACGAGTAAGAGAGCCGTGAAACACTCACAGGTGGTGTTCTAACTGAGCATGATTTCTGAATGGATTTGAGAAACCAGGCTTTGGCACAGAGTGCCTGATTTGATATTTTGCAGTTGCTTAGATCGGATAAGTTCAGACAATGTATTCAGTTTCCATTGGTTTCTATGGTAAAGATGTAGGCATCAACTAGGGTTGTGATGGTGAGGAAATTTTCCCACCAGTTAATCGACGTGGGACAATACCGGTATCACTGCGGGGGTGCTGTCCCTCTTTTCCTGCTTTCCTTCGCTTTTAAATAGCTTGTAAAAGCGGCGTGCGCATTTTACTTTCACTTTCAAACATGATGCCAAGTGACACTGTTCTAAAATGACTGAGTAGCAGTCGAAAATCGGGAAATTTTGCCCCACCCATACCTGTCATAGCAAAGAGGACTGTTTTACACATTGAGATGAAATCGTTTTTGTTTTATTTCCGTTTTATTCGGAATGTTGACACATGTATACATTGAATAAGCAAATTGTAGCTGTTCTGTCAGAGCAAAATCACGGTAATGAGCAAGAATATGGTATTGTACATACACATTACTGATTTAATTGTGGTAGGTGTACTCATTTTTGTAATATTTTGTATTTATTGTGTCTATGCATAGACACTTGTTATATATTTGAATATTCATAATCCAAATTACAAAAAAATCTGTCACTATTTAGTCTAAAAAAATCCGATTTCAAGCCATTTAATTTGAGTTTGTATAAATCAGGCTTAATGTGCGTTTTATTTTTATTATTATTTTTTTTAAATTTTTTTTTTGGTGGTTCACACATACTAAAACAAAACCGAATTGAGTCTGATTTACCAAAAATGGATTTGAGCAGGCAGTGTGAACAGCCATACTATACCTCCAATGTGGAGTCCTGATATAAGTCTGTGTGTTGTTTTTTTTGTAAGGTATAAGAAGCCTGAGGAGCGCCAGCCATTGGTCGCTGCAATGCAGATCTTTATGCCCATGTTGAAGGACCGATTTATACAGCTGCTGCCGGACCCCTCCAACGACTCTGTCCTTGTGCAGAAACAGATCTTCAAGATCCTTTACGCTCTCGTCCAGGTATTACTGTCACTTCTGATACATGTACTAAAGAAGCTCACAGCTTTTCCACAATGACGCTTTTGTGGTTTGGGTCTCATGACTCATGAATTGATTGGTCTGTTTTTACAGTACAACCTCCCTCTGGAACTGATCAATCGCCAGAATCTGACCGAGTGGATGGAGATTCTGAAGACTGTCGTGGACAGAGATGTTCCTCCAGTAAGGATGCGCTCTGTTTATCATGCATGTTGTGATAGGGCTCACATGGGAGTTTAGTATAGTGGCAGGGTTGGCCACATGGGAGTTTAGTATAGTGGCAGGGTTGGTTTTAATGATTTTTTAGTGTCTGGCAGGGTTGGCCACATGGGAGTTTAGTATAGTGGCAGGGTTGGCCACATGGGAGTTTAGTATAGTGGCAGGGTTGGCCACATGGGAGTTTAGTATAGTGGCAGGGTTGGTTTTAATGATTTTTTAGTGTCTGTCAATAGGCTGTGAGTGGACGGTGTGCGTAGTGTCCATCTGCGTTTAGTGCCGTCTCCGGTCTGTGTCTTACAGGCTGTGAGACGGTTCTCACGCCACACTCACAGCCACAGATCCACTGGAGATCATAGTACTGGTCCAGTGACGTCTAAACGACCATCCACCACTGGTCAGCCTCCATAGTCTCCTACAAGATCCAATAAACTCCACCTAAAGATCATGAATCGATGGCTATGTTCAGAAAAAATACTACTATTTCTGCATTATGTATACTGAGAACGAAATACCTAGGTGTGGCATACTACATTTTGGAAAGTTTCTTCAATTTCACAAACTTTTTTTAATAGTATGCAGTTCAGTTTTGTCGCTCTGATCGTCTAAAGTACTTGTGTGTGTGACTTTGCAGGAGACGCTTCAGGTGGATGAAGACGAGAGGCCTGAGCTGCCCTGGTGGAAATGCAAGAAGTGGGCGCTTCACATTCTCGCCCGGCTCTTCGAAAGGTGCAGTACTAACACAACATCACTTCCTCCCAGGAATGCTAAAGATAAAGCTTTCACAGATGACTCATGGTCCGTTTGAATCCCGGCCCACGCTGAGCAGTTAGAAACACTCGAGTAGTTATTTTCAGCTGAAGGTCTTGTGTGTTTCAAACGGTTACTGGATTTTCATGCATGCTTTTGCCCCAAGGTATGGCAGCCCTGGCAACACAACCAAAGAGTACACAGAGTTTGCAGAGCTTTTCCTCAAGGGTTATGCCGTGGCTGCACAGCAGGTAAACTGGAGACTTCAGTAGATATTTCAGTGGGTTGTTGACATGACGTGTGTTGAGAGAACTGATGACCTTTGTCTGTTTGTTTCTGATAGGTACTGTTGAAGGTGTTGTATCAGTATAGGGAAAAGCAATACGTGGCTCCCAGAGTCTTGCAGCAGACATTGAATTACATCAACCAGGGAATTGCACACGCCGTTACCTGGAAGAACCTAAAGCCACACATCCAAGTATGTAGATGTTGTTATACGTGTTTGTTTTCATACGGAAATTTTTATGAAGTATTAGGGACAAAATATAATAAAGTTGCAATGTAATGCAAGTAAGTGACATATGCACATTTTCTTTGATGCATTTTGAAAGAGGGAATTGTGAATAGCTATAGGAAGATCTAAAAGAGCTTTTGCAGTTAATTGTAAAAAGGGTGTGGGGTTTAAATGGATTAAGTCCAGCATATCTCGCTAGAGAGAGAAGTCTGACTTTTTACTCGAAGTTTGAGTTATGGGTCAATATCACTGTAGGGTGCCTTTTGGTGTCCTGTACATAACTCATTTGCCATGATAACTTAACATAATGACTATGAAAGGGTGTGTTAAATTAGGCTGAGTTTGTATATTCATAACAAAAGCATTACTTGGCTCTTTAGATACATTTTCTATATTTTCTTTGGTTTTGTGTAAGAGGATGCATGTTATTTTGCTATGCCCCATGCACTGCTCATTAAATTTGAATGATAGTAGAATATTGTCAAATCATAGAATTAAAAAAAAAAATTCTCCTATTAATATTTTGTTAAATAAGAGATTACTCTATTTGAGTGTATTGATCATTTGGTAATAAAAACGATATTTTTATTTAATTAAAAAAAAGAAGAGTTTGTCCATGTCCCTTAAATGTTTGTCCACCCTGTCGTATTGGGGAATCTGCCCCTTTAAGAAAAGGCCATCCTCTTTAGTGACATCAAGACTACAGATTTTTTTGTCTCTTCTGTGGTGGGAATTTCAACGGCTGAGGTGAAATTTGTTGGTGACTTTTCAATTGACAAATTTTCTTAGTACGAGTTTGCTTACTTGCTTTGCCAAAGCTTAACATGTCCACCCATTATTTATTATTATTATATAATTTTTTTAATAACCCTGTTTTGGAAAGGGACAGATCTTTCAGAAAATATAATTTGCGTCTTAATTTTGCAATGAAAACGTATTTAACAGTAACATATATGTCCATGACAGGGTGGACATATCTTATGGTTTATGCTTCAAATAATGGCCCATAATTATCTAACAAAATGTGTGGGAGCTCAGCTAATATGTTTCTATAGTACTCGAGTGTCTACTATTTATGATATGACAAAGCAAATGGGAAATTAAACCAAAATTTGAGTATTGTGAGGGTTTAAAGGCACTCTATGGTGATATTGACCCTTACGACATTTGGATTTTGGAAAAAAACTTACAAGCTCAAAAAAAAATAAAAAAGATATATATATAAAGAATCATGAATGTATGAATCATTCACAATAAGATCAATAACATGCATTTAGAAAATAGATATGGTGAATTTCCATTACCATGCCAACTTTGGGGAAACCAGTATTGCCAAATGAAATAAAATGAAGTTAGAGATAGTAAAGATCAGGGATAGTTTACCCAAAAATGGCAGTTGTCATCATTTACTAACCCTCAAGTTGCTCAAAACCTGTATGAGTTTCTTTCTTCTATTGAACACATAAGATATTTTGAAGAATGTTGGTAACCAAACTGTTTGGTTGTACTGTGGATATACTGAATCCGTATATTAGATTGATTGATTAAAAAGTACCCTTCAAAAGAACTGATTCACAGAAATAAATCAGACTTCCCTAAAATGCTGTTTTATTTAATGTGATGTCTAAATAAGATGTCCCAGTAAAATAAATCAGTCAATTATGTCAAAGTCACAAGTTGTAGGTAGCCAAATTAAAAGGTGCATTATTTGTTAAAATCAGTCACTCTTCATTTTTTAATTTCTCCTAACCTTTGTTGGGGCTACTGAAGTACCTGAGTGTTTCGCCGTTAATGAGCCATAAGTGGCTGTGCGTTTGATTTGATTTTACTGCAAGTCCATTCTTAACGGAAAACCTCCGTAACCAGTGTAAAATTACTGTAAAGCACTGCCTCATGTTGTCACACACGTAATCCAAGTTCTTGGTATACAACTTGAATGTGTCTGGTTTCAGGGAATCATTCAGGACGTGGTGTTCCCCCTCATGTGCTACACAGACAGCGATGAAGAGCTCTGGCAGGAAGACCCTTACGAGTACATCCGCATGAAATTTGGTTAGAGCATCACCTTATTTGTCTGAACTACCAAAAGTTTCTTTGAACAGAAGACCAAAGCCAGATAGATCTGCTCATAATCTCTCTGCTTCCTCTTAGATGTTTTTGAAGACTTCATCTCCCCCACCACTGCAGCTCAGACGCTTCTCTTCACTGCATGCAACAAAAGGAAGGAGGTGGGTGTTTGGAGGCGCCATCTGGCATGATGTGACTGTGTTTGGCTGAGTTTTGTGTATCTCTTACTGTCAATCCAGTGACGTCTAAATGACCATCCACCACTGGCCAGCCTCCATAGTCTCCTACAAAACCTACACATGACATGAATCATGAGGGAGTTTTGTGTATCTCTTACTGTCAAACCTCGTGTATCCAATCAGCACCCTGCGGCTCCTTCCACAGAACTGTTGGATGCTTCTGATGCTAGGTGGAAAGAGCTTCTCCGTCATCTCAAAGAGCTGTGTCTCTTATTGATAAGAATTATAGTTTTTATTAGGGCTGCAACTAACAATTATTTTGATAAGCTATTAATGTGATTTACTCAATTAAACTTTTTTAAAAAGCCATATTTCATTTTCTGTATATACATGCAATGCCTTTTTAATGTAGTTCTTCTGTATGCACATGAAGCCTGTGTAACAGAGACTTGCTTCCTCTCATGACAAACTTTTATGCAAAATGTAAATACTTGACTGGGTTTTCTAACATTTACAGAATGTAAGTTATGCACAGGAGAAAACCAATTTCCAAATTCATTTAATGGCAGACAAATCTGCCAGAGCGCTTGACAAGCCATGCTGCACTATATTCTAAAGCTTTTTTGAAAAGCATAATATGATGCATTCTCATGTTTTGAATAACTTGATTCTTTTTCTGCAGCCATTCACTCTGTATCCTCAGCTATATTTGTCTATAATGCACTACTGCAAAGTGATGTGACTGACGGATGTTTTCACTCACAGACGCGATTAATCGAGTCAAATTCTTTGTCGGGTTTCTTCGATTAGTGGTTGCAGCCCTAGTTATAGCCTAATTGGTAGAAATTACTTGATTCCACACTAGTTTAGGGTTACTATGCTCGATTTGAAACTGTCACACCTTTAAATTGGATCTTGTCAATTCGTGCACATGTTAGAACACTGTTAGAGCTTTCTCAGGTGTGTAAGCACCGTGGGAGTTTGAGTTTCAGCCTGTGTTTTGAAAGTGCCCATCGATTGGCTGTGAGTGGAAGGTGTGCGTAGTGTCCATCTGCGTTTAGTGCCATCTCCGGTCTGTGTCTTACAGGCTGTGAGACGGTTCTCACGCCACACTCACAGCCACAGATCCACTGGAGATCATAGTACTGGTCCAGTGACGTCTAAATGACCATCCACCACTGGCCAGCCTCCATAGTCTCCTACAAAACCTACACATGACATGAATCATGAGGTCTTGTGGTATTTTGAATCTTTCGTTAACCGCCTTTGTTGTATAACAGGTGCTGCAGAAGTCCATGGGCTTCTGTTATCAGATACTAACAGACCCGGCCTGTGACCCCAGGAAAAAAGACGGTGCTCTTCATATGATCGGCTCGCTGGCTGAGATTCTTCTCAAGGTGATTTTATGAAGATATAAAAATGCAATTAATAATAATATAACATAATAGAAAATGTTTGCTGTTTTGCCTTGTATTCTAAGAAATGAGCTTATGACATCAACACTTATAATTTAAATTTTAATACCACCACAAAAACTACTTGCCCAACTAATATTGAAGAGAAGTGAATAGTCAGTAATAAAATTAACAAAAACAAATCAAATAATTTACAAGCAGTAGCACAAAAGTACAGTAAAAAAAAACAAGATATAAATGTGACCCTGGACAACAAAACCAGTCATAAGGGTCAATTTTCTGAATAAATAAGCTTTCCATTGCTGTATGGTTTGTTAGGATAGGACAATATTTGGCCGAGATGCAACTATTTGAATATCTGGAATCTGAGGGTGCAAAAAAAGAAAAATACTCACCTTTAAAGTTGTCCAAATTAAGTTCTTAGCAATGCATATTACTAATCAAAAATTAAGTTTTGATATACTTATGGTAGGAAATTTACAAAATATCTTCATGAAACATGATCTTTACTTGATATCGTAATGATTTTTGGCATAAAAGAAAAATCGATAATTTTGACCCATAAAATGTTTCTTTGGCTATTGCTAAAAATATACCCAAGCGACTTACGACAGGGTCACAAATAAAATAATTCTTTAAATTTTTCAGGTAGTTCTAACAGTATTATTCAGGTGCAGAAATTGAGTAATTGGTGCAGGTGGCAGCAGACATTGGGCTGCTGTCACTTTAAGACCAAATTCACAATCCAGTGTAATGATACACATCCAGTTTTTTTCTTAGTTGTTTCTATTCACTTAAGACATAAATGTTTGAAGATGCTCGCCAAGATTTTGTGCGTATTTGTCCTTTCAAGTATTTGGTGTTTGCAAATAGAGTTCTTCTGCATGTTCTTGTGCTTAGATGGTCTAAAATCGCTTGAATGTTTAGGCAACACTTAAAAAGCAGCATTGGTTATTCTAGGATTGAACATCCTGATTAGTTGTATTGATGTTTTTTTTTTTCTTCAATCAGAGGAAGATCTACAAAGACCAGATGGAGTTCATGTTGCAGAATCATGTCTTCCCTCTGTTCCGCAGTGAGCTGGGTTACATGAGAGCCAGGGTGAGAGATGTGCTTATTGCACTCTTATTAAAGAATAATTCGACCACTAGATAAAAGCAACGACTTGAGTGCTGCAAGTGTCGACTTGTCTTAGTTCATTGTAATTCTGCCTCTAGGCCTGCTGGGTTCTTCATTACTTCTGCGAGGTCAAGTTCAAGATTGACCAGAACTTGCAGACAGCCCTCGAGCTCACCCGCCTGTGTCTGATCAACGACAACGAGATGCCTGTTAAAGTGGAGGCTGCCATCGCCCTCCAGGTCCTCATCAGCAATCAGGAGAAAGGTAAGATTTCACTCATTTTTGTCTCTTTTTCTGTTTAATGCCTTCCTCTTGCATTAGCTGAATTTGAGATGGCTTTGTTTGGTTTTCCTATCAGCCAAAGATTACATCACCCCCCACATCCGGCCCGTGATGCAGGCCCTCCTCCAAATTGTGCGTGAGACCGAGAATGACGATCTTACCAACGTCATCCAGAAGATGATCTGCGAGTACAGTGAGGAGGTCACACCAATCGCTGTAGAGATGACCCAGCATTTGGTAATAGCCATTTAAATATTCATTTCACCCTATAAAGCCTGACACATGAAATAACAGTCCTAAAAATTTTATTTTTGAAATAGAAGAGTTTGAACCTTTAGAGAAAATCTTTAAAAAAAAAAAAAGGTATGCATACGTGAAGAATATGGAGCTCATACTTGAGGAAAAAAAGCTACATATAATAAACTGCATATAAATATCAGTTGTCACTCTATTGGCGCTTTTCCACGGCACGGTACGGCTCGGTACGGTTCACTTTTGGGGGGTTTTC